AATAATAATAATAATAATAATGTATTATTACCATTATCATCTCATGGTCACCATTATTTCAACTTATATAACTTTTACAACGGTGATCACCCTTGACAGTCTACTGTGCCGACGTTCCTGACTTTGACGTATGCGTGCGCAACGTGATGTAACTGCTGTACGACAACAAAAGGAAATGCACGAACGTCCAATTACACTTATGACCTCGGCTGTGTCGGCAACTTCTGAATTGGCTCTAGAAACTATTGAAATCCAGAAAAAACTTAAATAGCATATTCTGAAATTGGCGAATCGCACGAACGTAATGGAAATGTGTGCTGAAAGACATGTCAAGTGAATTACACAATCCTAGTAAGTTAGATATTTCAAACTGTTGAACAATAATTAAATAAACAAGAAATCATATAAACAAAAATCTCTTAGTACTTTATTCTTCATCTTCTTATACTACAACATTGCACAATATGCTTATATTATAAAGTATGTATTGTAATATAGCAGAAAGGAATGACCGTTTTTCGACAAGAGACGTCTGCATGTCTGGTCTGTTTGGTTTGGTCTGCACGTCTAGTGTGGATTTTCGGCTTTTCCCCATGTTCCCAGATACCTAATGAAACCATAGACACCTCTCACATGGCCCAGGACCGCATAGCATAGGTGCGCATTAGAATTTAGTAATGTAGAAAAAGAAGAGTTCTAGCTAGAACATTTTAGTTGTAGCCAGTCCCTTTGCAATATTATCGGTACAAGCCACCACTTTTTATAAAATCTTGGATTGCGTAATTATTTCACTATTGAGTTTTCAAAAACTAATTGACGTCTTTCACTTTAACCTCCCGTTTTCTTTGCAAACAGGCGGGGGGAAGGGGCTTATGTTCTAACAGTACTAAATAACTTTTCTTACTTCTCATGTATCTCTCTGTTTTCTGCTTCAAAAGTAGTGCTAAAGCTTGTGCTTTCTCAGCGCAGTTTATCTTCCAATCCAAACTGATAACATGGTTGTCGCACATGACGCAATGAACGCGATGACCCAGAGCCTGTTTGGCAGAACGTTATATCTGTGTGCAAATTTATTCAGGTGTGGCACAATCGTGCTGCAAAATCCCTATGGAGTCATAGAAAATAAGAGTTATTTATGTGGTTAAACGTGTCAAAAGAGGAGGCAATTAGTACATTTATTTATATTTGACAGCCTGTATATAAACAGAATAATAATTAAAAAAATATTTATATTTGTACTCACCGAGTTGTTTTTTCTTGAGACCACTTGTGAGAATGTAGTGCCCAGTTGGTTTCATGTGAATGATGCTAAAACCACTGCAAGTGATTGTTAGTTATGCAACGTAACAATGCATTGCAATCTTATCCACACAATGTTTATTAATTTGGTATTAATAATTACTTAGTTTTCGTTGCGATATATTAAAAGTTTCATACTGATAATTTCGAAGCATTCTAGTAATAACTTTTCTGAATTAATTTCACTAGTTCTCTCTTAGACGAGTCCTTCACACATAAAAGTAGGGTAATTTGGGGCAAGAGTCTCCACTTTTTATAAAAACGTGCGTTTCCATTCGTGTAATTGGTATATTGATTTGGTTTCTCACAAAGCAATGCTTAATGTAATAAGAAAATTGTTCACACAAGAAAGGGATGTCTTTAAATTTGGTGAACAGAAACATTAAAGAAGGAAGTGCAGTGGTCGGTCCCAGGTGCGGCGTAAAAGTCCCAAACAAACGGGACAACCAAATATACTAACCATCTAAACTTGCTTAGAAATAAATTAATATTGTTTCTAAGACCCATACGCATTAAATTAATGTGACATCAGCTTAATTAGTAAATAATTGAATGTAATACACAGATTGTAAACGGTCGTAATAAAGTCGTCAGTTGCAAATTATACTCTCATAAAAAAATTAACTCACATAATGAATTCGAAGTATATATTGTACACATTAATTCTAATACAAATCACGCAGAAATTGCCCTCCCTCATAAGAAGGCCACCATCTTTGCACGAATCACATTAGATCCAGTCTTCAGCTAGAGAGGCCTTGAATTCCATTTCGCAAGCAGTGTGTAGCCCTATCTAAATATTTCTGTGGCGGATGGTTTATTATTATTTGCCGTTCCTCTCTTATTTGTGAAGTTGCAAAGCGGTTTCTATTGGTATTTCCGGGCTGCTTATTCTCCAGTGTAGTTTTGTGAAGTGACGATGTCAGTACGGGGACTTCTTTCCTCGCCGAATTCATTTTCTATTCAATTCTATCTTTTGAATGGGCATAACTTCCGATAAAGAGAGGTTTACTGCGATTCTCTGAAGTTCCACAATTTGGAGAATCGCATTATTTAGGGGGTGTTGTGACCTTGCTCAATACTGATGACAATGGCTCGAGTGAGACATTTATGGTTTGATAACATGACTACCTACTTCAGGTTCTTTTTAATTTAATGCTAACTCACCTGTCAGCGTAGCGGGAGAAACGGGTTTCTAGTCTGTGACCTGTGAAGGAGGAAAGACTTTCTCCCCAAATTTGAATTTGCCAATGGTTACAATACTACACACTTCAAAATCTTTCGCAGCATTTTCAGTTGTACGATTCTTCATGTACGTTTTCGTAAAAAGTTCCGCGATCTGGAATTGGGTGATGACCCTTCCTGGATAAATTTCAACATGCGTTATAATTGGTGAGGTAGACGTCTGCACCAGGACTCTTGCCCCAACCGTCAAAATAACTTTAAATTCGAACCTTCTGTCAGACAACTACGAAACTATTCAGTAGTGTGTTGTGTAGGTCGCATTTCAAATTTTCGTACTCTTGTATTTTTGTAGTTTTAATTATATTGCTATTAACAGCGTAAACATATTTTCAATAGAGCAAAATTACATCAAATAAGTTCGAATAATATCTCACTTCATTGTCGCAACAATATTTGTACTGGAATTACCAAACTCTCCTCTCAGAACATCAGACACGACATCTTCCCATTTATTATGAAGTGCCAACTTCACTCCTCGAAAACAGTAATTACACCAATCGCAATCTTACCCCATGCGTACTTTTGCCCCATGCTACACTATAATTTCTTTTTGTTCATTGTCCTCCTGGACTTGCTTATTCGTAGTATCGTTTTCGCACGGTGAAGGTAAGATAATTTTAACTCACTGCAACTTAATGGCACCGTCTCATAGAGTTCGTACATTGATGTCCAAGGCTGGTGTCTTCAATGAAGTCCAAGTCCATCGTAATCCCGATTGATAAAGACGGATTTCGAACGTTTTTGAAAATACCACAATCACGCATCTAAAGCATCCTTCAGTAATTTTGTTATCCAGAATTATAAAGGAGACCATTCACATTAAAATTTGTTGTGAGATATGTCAAGACTTTTCAAAATAATGTATGTGCTAGTTTATCAGTCAATGAGTAAAATTTGGTTTCAACCTCGGTAATAAATGAGCTGGGGCGGATAAATATATTATTTTATTTTCAATTATCATTAATTATTGACGGTACATACAGTCACAATCTGACATATACAAAATAGCTTCTAAAAAAATGTGCCATAGTAAAGAGAAGTGAGCAAATTCAATACGGAAATTGGGACACAACGGTATAAAACATGATGTAGTACATGGTGCCCAAAATACAGCGGATACAATTTTAAAAAAGTAAATGCTGAATAAAAAGACCATTTGTGCTTTAATAACTTCTCAGAGAAAGAGTGGTAAAAGCGTTATAAAGAATTCTGATCGTCAAACACAGCAGCAGAAGAAGTGGAAGTGGAAGTGGAAGTGGAGGAAGAGGAATCCAGCCTCGAAGAGTTTGGTAATGGAGACCTAATTAAATTTGGAGATTGGAAGAAGTTATTCATTTAAAAACAAGAGACCTCCTGCAAGTAACGGACTATGTTTAACCAATATACTTTAAGTTTTCAAAATACTTTCGAAAAATGGTAACAAAGAACTCGCAAATATTGCTCTCAAAAGGTAGGGAAGGGTAATTTGTACGAAATCTCAAATCGTAACTCTTCTCCCGTTTTGAAGGTTACGTTTACAAAGTTTCATCGAGATTGAAATGAAACGAGATTTGAATGAAAAAAAACAACAACAAACAAATAAACAAACCTTCTCCTTTATGTAAGAGAAAATCGTAATTTGAAAAAAGTAGTGTAACGTATTAACTAATTACAAAAAATATATATTTTTGCCTGTTCGACAAGAATGTCTTTCAGAGTTTTTGACATTACAAATTGATATCACTTGAAGGTTATGGTTTCACATAGAACCTCAGGTAGGCATTCTTGGCAATATTACGTTAAAGATATAAATTCTATTAGACTAAAAAAATTGTAGTTAGATATTTTAAGAAATGCGTTAGCAACCACACTATCTTTCAATAAACACCGCTTTGAAATTGGATTAGTCTTTCCAGAGATTACCCCCTGGACGTATAGACTCAGACGAAAACGGTAAAAACCATTGAATTGCTAGAATAATCTAAATATACATAAGATATTAGAAAAAAGGCCGTTATTAAAAAACCAGACAGGTTCACCAATTTTGTTGATGTAGATAGAAGTGAGAGAATGCAAAAAAAATTCTTGCAATAAATTTGCAAATTGTATATTGGAATAATGACATTATAAGGACTTACATACAGAAGCTTCGTAGAGTTAGTGCTAACGTGAGGCAGAATTTATGTCATGGACATATGTTTGACTTCTTCGATCTATCTTTATTCATCGCCTATCTGTAATATCAGACAAAATAAAAAGGATGTACAAGGATGTCGAACGTTTACCAATTGGTAAACGAGAATGTCTCTCTCCCTTTACTTCCCCCCACCCAAAATTCGTAATTATTTCTACTAAAATTTGTGAAATTAGAAGTTAAAAATGTCTGATCATATTTTTTCGGTAGTGTTTCTAGTGACAGTTTATTTTGTTTGTGTGTCATTTCGTTTACATTCAGTTCTGTTCTTCATATGCTCCAGGGTGGAGGTCTTGAGCGAGTCCGGCGGACCTCCGTGTGCCAGGCCCCTAGCCGCGCCTAAGCACCCAATCATGTAAGTACTGGAAACGGCAAAATCTCTTTTATTTCTCGAAAAAGAAACGGTCGAACTGTGGGTTAATGTGTCATTGTATACCTTTACATCACTGTTTTAAAATAGTAACAATTCCACTTTTGAAATGCGAAAGTGTATGTGTAAATGTACGTAATTGTAAAATCTTCGTGTTCAGCTTAAAGTATCTGCTTGAATTAGTCATATTTATCCCCTGTATGAGTTTTTTCATTGGCATTGTATAATAATGTTAAGACTAATGCGATGCGTGCATCGTTGATATTGGGTCACATTTTGCTCGTATCATTTTCATTCCTTGAATAATCTTAATGTATCCCTCTTGTGCTGTGGGAATTCCGATACTAATCCAGGAGCAGGTGAGTGGTAGACTGGTCGGCAATCTATAAAGCATTCGTTATATTGCATTTAATACGCTCAACGGAAAACGTTATTCTAAATCTGGCCATAATGAATACATTATAATTCCGCCTGATTAATAGCGTTTGTCCACATATTTAGCACGGCTATTGACGATAATGTGAACTGACTTAAACTGATATTCTCGATTATTCAAACGAATAGGATGCAAAAATAGTGAAGAAGAGAGATGAGAAAAACAAATTGACAGACCTAATTGTGTAAAGTGCACAAGGAGACTTTCACGAAGTCAGGAAATAAACTTTCGCACTACTATTTACTAAAGCTCTGTAACGATACTCTTTACTAACGAAGCTCTTTACTAACCCTCATAGCTGTCCGAATAATTGAGAAAATTTGAACATTAAAGAATATCGATTTTTTAAAGATATGTTTAGACGGTGGTAGTAGTTACAAACCTCGATAGAATATAAAATTTATTGAAGAAAAACTAAATTGTTGCCGTCCGTATTGTCGAAATAATATTTTTCTACTTGATCGCTGGGTGTGGATTAGTGATGTTGCCACTTACTCGTGCGGCAGACATGCGGTCGTGTGGTCGACCTTGCATCAGATCACAGCAGCAGCAGTGGCAAGAAACAAATCGCAATGAGAGCCTACAACAGTAAACGAAACAAAACAGCTCATACGTCTCATAACCAAACAAGTAAAGGCGCACTTGGTCACTTGGCTCTTAGCTCTCTTCAATTTTCAGTTGATTCGCAGTGTAGTTTTTTTTATCTTAAAAATCATCGGCAACTCTTGAGTTATACAGTGAGTGATACAGCCTTGAGGTGGCAGTATCACAATATGAAACCTCTGATTGGAATACGGAACCCCCTCTCCTCTGTCAGCCGCTAGCTGACAAGTAGACAAATATTATTCGAATAATAGACAATGATTCCAGGTATATGTTAAAAAATTCTATATTTAACGATAGACGTTTCAATCTCTTTTGCGAGACCCTCTTGAGTTCCAGTACCAGTTTCAGTTCTTGGATATCGCAAATGAGATCGAAACGTCTATCGTTAAATATAGAATTTATTAAGTTATCACTGGCATCTTCGCCTTTTATTTGATTATATGTTTCCAGAGATCCTAGACTCTTTTGAAATATTATTCGAGCAATAGCAAGAATACTCCGCGCCGCGTGGCGGAAGCGTTGACGGCACTCGCCCCACGCCCCACTCTCTTCTTTTCGAACATGACGATTCCCTATCTCATTCCTTGTTTTTCTTTTATATATATATATATATAAATTTATTTAATTGTTTGTTGATGTACAATGTTCAGTTCACAGTAAAAACTTTGCAATTGTTTGATGACTATCTAATTAACTTAATCTAGGTTAAAATTGTACTTAATCTTAATCTACGGAGAGGAAACAAAAAGCACCTCAGGAGAATTATTCTACATTTGCAAATATCTGGAGGAAATAATGAAGCGGGAATCCTTTCTTAATTCTGGTTTTGTATCTGGGATCTTTGCCGAGTCTGTATGAGTTGATCCTTTATGAGATAAGTTTGTGTCAAATTGTTAGATAGAAAGCTATTTGTGAGTTATTTTATTTATGTTTAGATCTTATGAAGCTGTTTAATACTAATGAACCATGGGTGCTCTTGTTATTATCTTAAATATTGCCACCCATAAGAAGTTTGAATGACTTGGAATTGTTGAGTTTGGTTGCCGCATTGGTCCCAGATCCGGCATGCGGTATAATATATTGGACGAATGAGGATTTGTATAGTGTTAGTGCATTTGACATGAGAAGGTGTTGTATGAGTTTGTAGAGTCTAGTGGCATGAGTTTGATTTTTGCCTGTTGTCGCTTTCTATCTCTATGTGTTGTTTCCAATTAAGTTAGTATCTAAATTCAATCCAAGATCGTTATTCCTTTTCGTGATGGGTCCAGTTTATAGATTATATACTTATATAAGTAGCGACGGTGGATATGCAAAAGGTTTTAGTGAGGAAGACTTTTGCTGCTGATTTGATGGATTTAATTTAATTTTCCAGTGATCTGCCCAATTTGTTATTAGATTTAGATGCTGTTTGGAGCTGAATTGGTGAGTTTGTACATGCAATTGCCGGAGATATATAAAGCAGTGTCTCCGTCGCAAAGGCAGAATTTATTTGATGAAGTAGGAATGTCTGCCAGTGTAAGATACAAAAGAAAGTTGGAGATAGCGGCGAACCTTGGCGGGACCCCCAGCAGCAATTTGTTTGGGTTAGAACCAATGACCTCTATTGTTACGGAGAAAGTTCGTTAGATAAAGGAAATTTTGATGACTTGAATTAAATAGTTTGGTGTTCCGATTTTGACTAATTTGAAGATAAAGGTGGATGCCATATTCTGTCAAATCTCTGTGACACATCTAAAAACAGTGGTGTGAAATCCCTTTGGAAAGCAGAGTGGATTGCTCAGTTAATCTCAATAGCTGGTGCGTCGATTGAGTGGTGGGAATAAAACCGAATTGATAGGTTGAATTGATGTTAGTTATTATATGTTTGTTTAGTCTGTTGAGAATAATTTCAAAATTCTTGGATCATGGATGGGTAAAAGACTGATTGGTTATAATTTTTGCACGTGAATGATTTTTATTTGTTTTTGCTATTGGAGTGTTATGAAGTGCTTTCCAATGATTGCGGGATCAATAACCTATCCTTAGATATTTTGGACGTACCGGGAAAGCGGTACTCTCACGACAAAATAAATTATACAAATACGGTCATTTCGTGAATGGGCTTCCAGGGTTTGTTGCTGCTTGGAAGATGATATAAGAAATTCTTTTGTGCATTGAAATATTTTTAATAATAGAATACACTCTTTACAAAGATTATTTACAAAAAACGCAACGCGCAAGGCTTTAATAAGTGCAGAGTCACCGCTTACCTTGATGCTCTTAAAGAATCATCTGCTGGCTGTAGGCCGAGCGTGCCGCCATGGCAGCGCGGCGGCATTCTTCGGCAATCCACGGTCCGCCCCGAAGGTCCTCGGAATTCGCTCTCCCTCGGCGATCGACTCCGCTGATTCCCAAACGAACGGCCAAACGAACTCGCCGCGGTCCACCCCCACCCAGTATAAGCAAGTCTCACATATACTAACACGCACGACGCGCGATGCGGCCCGTTCAGGGCAAGTTTCCAGTCTCAAGCAATTCTTCTCAATCTCGCCGAATGTCTGCACCAGTACGCTTGCTGCCATTTACACCCGGGCGTAAATATAACACGTGTCCGCTTCGGCCACACGAATTCCTGTATTATGTTTTTGATCTCGAGGTTCCTGCGTGCGCGACTTCCCTTTCCCTAATCACCTGATTATCCAAACTTTCATTTAAATCTAGTCTTTCACTTAACACCACAGTAAATCCAAAAACTTTCTTAACACCACCATAAACCCGTTTGATGCAGCATTTGCCCCGTCCGTGTTGCACTCCGCGCCTCTCTGCGCACCCCACTGTCCCAAACCTCCGCTCGCCTCGCCGCAACCCCCCGATTTGACCGTTGGTCCACGGCCGCGGCCGCGCTTACTGCTCTAATCAATTCATTACTTATTTTAATTATTAATTATTGATTTCAACTTGATTAATTACCAATGCAAGAAACGCTTCTCGTTTCATAATGCAGTTGTATATATTCTTAAAAAAATGCCGTGATGGCATGTTTGTAATCTTTCAAATGATAGAATTAATTCGATCGTGACCTGGGGATTTATTTATTTGACATGTTTTTGATTATTTGTTTAACACTTCATAGGGAGAAATGAATTTAATTTTTTTGAGAACTTTGTAAAGAGCGTTTGAAAATTTTAACTATTTCATCATGCTTGGAAATTTATGGATCATTAGGAGTGAATTGCTAGCAAAATGGGCTGCTAGAATCTCTGCCTTCTCCATAGGCCGCAAGGTTTTTTCCCCAGTTTCAGTTGACATGGGAGAATGCGTTCCTTTCTTAAACTTTTCTTTGTGAATGCCAAAGATTAATTGTTTTAGTATTAGTCCCTCAATAAATTAATATATTTTCCATGGTGTATTTACTTATGCCTTTTTGCAGATATTTGTTAGGTGGTTTCCTGTTTTTTTCGTTCTGCGAGTTAGAGTGTTCAAAAGCCTTCTGTTGATTTTTAAACTCTTTATTACTTCCAGTAATACTGGAGTAGTGTCTTTTAAGTTTCCTCTCGTATGTCTAATGTTTATATTGAGATCATGATTGTTTTGATATTATATTATTTAATTATAATGCTTGATTAATTTCAATGGAAATTGATGGGTTTGAAATTTTGTAATTGCATTTATTCAAACAGATTTTTAATAGAATTTCAGTTTATATGTGTTAAAGTATTTAGCGCGGGAGAGGGGATGGAGATTTTGTTAATTCATTGTATTATAATATAACAACATGTTCTGAGTCTAATTCATGCATGAACCTTGTGAGTAAAAGGGTACTTTCAAGTTTGTTATTGCTAGAATATCTAATATATCTGCGTTTTTATGGGATCATATGGAAATGGTTGGTTCGTGGGCGTAAGTATTTTAAAGCTGCATTTGTGTTTGATATTCTATTTAAATAATCACCGGCAGGCGTTTG